TAATAATCACCCCTGTCCGCAGCTCTGGGTGCCCTGCAGAGTTTCACGGGCTCCACGCTCCCGCCGGCCCGAGGGTGGCCATCCTGTCAGTGCCGCCGTTGTGCTGATGAGGAAACTGAGCCCCCAGAGGGGAAGCAACTTGCCCAAGGGCACAAGGCATCCACCTCCGTAGGGCCAGCTTCCAACTCCCTGCCCTGGGTGGCGTCCCTGTACCTGGCCGGGGCCCAGCCCTTGGCAGGCGGCGTGTGTTCCTAAGGGACAAAACAGTCCGTCCCGGAGAGGGGGTTCACTGATGGGTCAGTCTCCACCTCTCCAGACCCCGGGTCCAGGCTCCGTCTCCGCACCATGAGCACGCGCGCAGCGCCCACTGGGTCCCAGCCCAGCATTTAGCCACGGAGGGCCTGGGGGTGAGAACAGCAGGCCCCGCTCCTCGGTCCTGGAGCCTGCGAGCTGGCCCCGGGGACAGGCGAGGAACAAGCGGCAATGGCAGGATTACATGTGTCCTGACAGGCGGGACGGAGCCAGGAAGGGGAGTGGGCAGAGACGGGCGAGGTCTCTGGGGGTGGCCTGGAGGGCTTCCCAGAGAAGGGGGCACTTGAGATGAAAACGAAGGGTCGAGTGGTCACTGCTCGGGGAGAGGTAGGCGAGGCGTCGGCACGGCGGGCCAGGGCTCCGGGGGCGGCCATGTGCGCTGCCTGGGTGCAGGGGGGCGCGCCGCCCGGACACGGAGCACTTGCCGTGATTCTGTCCTTGTCCACGCGGGAGGGTGGACCGCCGGGTGCCACGTGTCCAAAGTAGGCAAATCCATAGAGGTGGAAAGTAGTGGTTTCCTGGAGGAAGGGGTTGGGACTGATGGCTAACGGGGATGGGTTTCCCTCTGGGGTGCTGGAAATGTTCTAGAACTAGTTAGTGGTGAGGGTTGCAGGATTTCGTGAATGTACTGAAGCCAACGGAAATACGCTTTTAAAGGGTGAATCTGACGGCATGTGAGCTCTGTCTAAATCACATACGTGCATATATGCAAATGCATGAAGTTCTCTAATTCTGAATTACACAGGCCTTGGCCTGGCCCCTGACTGCCACCGGGCGTGCAGCTGTGTGACCTGGGATAGGTCGCTGCACCTCTCTGAACACTCAGGTTCCCTTTCTGTAAAAAGCAGAGAGCCACAGCATCTGCCTTGTAGAGCCCTTGTGAGAATGAAGAGAGAACACAGCTGGCCCGGTGCAAAGTCAGCTACTGTCGTGTTTCTCCCCCACCCCGCCCCGAGGCGACCATGGTATTTCAGCTGTCTCACCGCCAAGCCCCAGCCCGGCCCCCAACACCAAGGATACGTTGTGCGCTTTAGGACACGCTTACAAGGCCATCCCCACCTCCTCTGCCCCAGGGAGGGGGGTCAGGGAGACAGCTGGAAGCCTGCAGACACTCCAGGGGTGGAATCACATCTGTATTTACAGATCCAGCAAATATGCATGTGATTACGTGTTTGCGTCCACGTTGGTGTGTGCGCGTGAGGACATAGGCTTACGTGCATCAGTGTGTGGCCTGAGCGGAGGCTGTGCCTGCTCAGCGGGCATGGAAAGAGACTTGCCCGGGGGCTGGAGTGACGCTGGGACTCGGGCCTTCTGACAGCGAGGGCCTGCGTGGGTGGCAGCGTGTAAGGGCGTCGAGGAGCGGTGTGTGCACCCCTGGGTGTGCCTATCAATGTGCGGGGGGCCGTGTGCTGCGTTCATGGGTGTCTCAGCAGAGCTAAGCATGGGTGCCCCGGGATGAGCCTGCACCCCGCCCCCAACCCCATGCCCAGCTGGGAAAGTATCTGTCCGCACCCTCCCGCTGATGATTCCAAGTGTCTCCTGGCACCCATGGGAGCCCAGGGGCGTTACCTACAGCAGTGACAAAGTCTTGGTGACCTGTAACCAGCGTGAATTCTGGGGGGCTGGTGGGGGTGATGTACCCCCCCCCATTCTGGGTGGTGCAACCTGCCTGTCCTCTCCCCTCAAGCGTGGGTTTCTCCCAGGGACTGACCAGACCGCCACCCACAATTCAAGACTCCTGCCAGTGCAGTGGCTCCTGCACGTTGGCCTCAGTATCCTCTTCTGGAAAGTGGGATGGTGGCGTCATCCTCACAGGACTGGAGTCACGTGGAAGGTGTTTACGGCCCGGGGAGACGAAATGAGCCCAGCTGTGGATAATTACCCAGCGAAGCAGCGCCATTTGACACCGATTCCTGAACATACTTGGGTTCCATCACAAAAGACCTTCATATTTGATTGAATGACAGTAACCACTATCACAGTAGCACGAGTAATGATAACAATAATAATTATTATAACAATAATAATAGGAGAATTACTGTTAGCACCCAAGTGCCATGACCCTCCGCGTTCACTTGGTGACAAGAGAGAAGCTGGGGTCTTGGGAGTCAAAACCCTTGGGTTTGGCTTTTGCCCTGGGAAGTCACACTCTCTCTGAGCCCTGCAAAGTGAGTGAGCAAAATATCAAAACTATAAATCAAGGCAGGAGGGGCCTCCCTGGTGGCGCAAGCGGTTGAGCACTGCATGGTAAAGCTGTCCGCAGCCTCTGCAGCGCGGGTTCAATCCCGGCTGTCCAGGGAGCAACCCACATGGCGCGGCAGACCTCTCCTGACTCGCCCGCTGCTCCCTCAGCAGTGTATTTCATCAGTCTGCCTGTTCTGGTCCCCACTCTGTCTCTGGTGAATCCTCTCACCCCCCGCATCTCTGGCCTGTACCCGGTTCTTATATAAATAAATAAATCTTTTAAAAAAATAAATAAATTAAGGCAGGCTTGGGACCAGAGCGACATCAGCTGGGAGAGTGCTGGAACCCGAGGCAAAGAGAAAAATCAGCAAATTAGCAAGAGGAACCTGCCCTTGCTCCCCTGGGAGTTCTCTTTCTCCTCGCTGTCTGCAGTCGTCTTAAAAAATTACTCGAAAACATTCATCTTACTGACGGAGTTGGTGGGCGCCACTCTTAAATTGTGCGTGGAAGGCCTGACACACTCTCCCACCCTGGCTCCAGCGCTGCTAACTCACAGGGCAGCAGTGAGAGGTTTAGAGATGGCTCGGCTGATGCAGGGGCCATAATCATAGTGCTGACACTTGTAGGCACAAGTCACTGTCATTCTCGTAGTAACAATGGCTAATCCTTTAATGTTTCCTGTTTTGCAGGTGCTCATCTAAGGAACATATATTTCATTGAACCTCCTCAACAATCTATGAGGTGGGTGGAATTACAATCCTTGTTTTTAGAAGGGGTAAACTGAGGCACAGAGCCATTAATCTACTAGCTGAAGATCACGCAGCTGTAGGTCCACCCATTGCATGTATTTCCTTGGGGCGAGGGGCCTGGGGTCTTGTCTCTGTTCTGCAAGGGACCTAGGGATAAGAAGGTCAGAGGTCACAGTCCTTCTGGATGACCAGGGTCACGCCCAGCTCATGCCCTTCCAGAGCCAGCCCAGGAGGAGTGAACCTGACACCTAGAGCCTGTGGGGTGTGGCCAGACGCTGGGCCTCCCTGGGGTAACCCTGCCCCTGTTTAGTCCTGCCCCACTGAGACCTCCATTGCAGTGTGCACCCCTCAGCCTCTGCCCCCACCCTTCTCTCTAGGCTCCACCCTCCACCCCAGTACCCCCTGATCCCCTTCATCTATCTGCCTTGGGGCTCCGGTCTGGTCTCCTCACCTGCCAAACCCATCAGGGACCCTTGCCCCTCCCCCCAGGGTCCCCCATCTCTCCCTTCCTCTAGCCTGGCCCCTCCAGGCTCAGATCCCTTCACGCCCCCTCCCATCTCCTCCAAGGATCCCTTCCACCATCACCCAATGTCCTCTCACTTTCCTCCTATCCTGGAGCTCTGATCTTTTCACTGACAGTCTCCCTCCACACCTGACAGGGCCGCCTTCACCCCGGCCGTCCCCTCCCGCTCCCCAGCTTGCCTCCTCCTGGGGGTTCCCCTCTCTCAGGCTTTCCCTACTCCCAGCCCCAGGGGCATCCTTAGCCCCGCCGCACCTCTCCCTCAGGGACTTCCCCTTCCCTCTCCCTCAGAGGGGCTCCCCAGCCCCGTGACTCCGGGGGCAGCAGGGGTTTTCCTGGCACACCCACGTGAGGCTGCGTGGAAAGGTCGCGGCCTGTGGGCAGGGCCTGTTCCCCCCCTGCTCCCCCGAGTTCCCAGCCTGGGGCTGCGGGCAGGGGAGGCGAGCCCACTCTGCAGGCTGAGGGCTGGGGGGCTGGGGGGCTGAAGCTGGCGGGGCTCCAAGCTCCCAGCCCCGGCAGGAGGCAGGAGGCGGCTCCCCTGCAGCTTTGGGAGAACAAGGAGGCTGGCCCAGCTTACAGTTTCGGTTTAGAGGCAAAGCGCAGGCCGTGCCAAGCCCAGCTGGGCCAGGAGGCTGACTTCCTGGGGTATTTTTCTGCTTGTTGTTTTTAATTTGGGGAAAGAAACAAAACTTTTTTCTGTAGTGCAGTGAAGAATCCCGTCCTGGGAGGGAAGGGCGCCGTGGGAGGCGGGGGGCGGGGGTGGGGGGGGTGGGAATCCCTCAGGGAGCTCTTCCTGCAAGGCCCGAGTCCACCCGGGAGTTCTGAGCCCACCTCGTGGGCAGCCACAGGTGCCCCCTCGGCCTCTCTGGACCTTGGGCTGCAGAGGTGGCTGGGCGCGCAGGACCTGCGGCCAGCTCCCCGGGGCGGGTCCTCCTGTGCCCAGAGCTCAGGTTGGCTCCAGCGCGGCCTGTAACAGCAGTGGCAAGGCGGCCAGGTTTCGTAATAAACCGGTCTTTTAATTGCTACAGGGCAGGAGGAGGGAGAAGGGGGGAAAAGAGGCAAAGTCTTGGGTGGCGCCGCTGCAGAGAGAAGAGGCACTGTTTTTGCAAAGGAGCCTGGAGCTGCTAACAGGGACTTAAGAAACACTTCCTGGTGAGCCGCGCAGGGCGAGGGGGGCAGGAGACAGCGCTTGGGGGTGTGGAGCAGCGCTGCTGGAGTGCAGAGGGGGTGCCGGGTCCGCTCCAGAAGTACAAATACACAAACATTCAGAAGCTTTAGAGATTTATTACAAGGCCATCCTAGTAGAAGTAAAAATATATGTATCCGCAAGCTTCCCTTCGCTCAGTGGTTCAAGTAACAGCTGCAGGTAAAACATCGTCTATGCAGTTTGCGGGCTGGCAGCGGCGGGCACAGAGACACAGCCCCAGCCCCCCGGCTAGTCCCCGCCTAGTCCCCGCGAGGGCGCAGACCCTCGGCGGCCAGCTCGGCTTGCCGGTGTCAGCTCCAGTCTCAAGGAGGGCGAGGAAATGCAGTCAAGTCTCCCCCACCCCCAGGCGTGCAGTCCAGGGTCTCCACACGGGAAGGCAGCAGCTCCTCACTCCAGTTTCTGCTCCGTCGCGGCCCGAGCTCCAGGGCCTCCTCTCCTGCCGGCCCGACCCGTCTCTTCCGCGGCCGCTGGCGCTGCTCCAGGCGCCCGGCCCGGGGGCCACGGCCCACCTCTCCTGGTCTTCAGTCTCCAGTGGTCCTGCCCCGTGGTCTCACGGGTAGGGCTGTTTGGGGGGGTTTTTTGGGGGGAGGGTGTCAAGTATTTATTTTATATTTTGGCAGCAACTCAACAGGTCCTGATGCTGGAAAGGACCTCAGCGCTCCTGGAGGGAAATGTAGGGCACCCACTGGTTGTTGCCTCGGCTTTCTTCACAGTAACTGGCCACCTCCACCAAGCCATGGCTCTTCCAGGCATCTGTGTGAGGATTCTGCAGGAGACAGAGAAGAAGGGGTTCAGCTGGAGCCCCAGGAGTGGGCGGGGAGCCTCCCTCTCCCAGGGCCCCTCTGGGGAAAACAGGCCAGCTCAAAATAGTTGGGTGACGAGGCCCGGCCGGGCTGCCCACGGGACATGCCAAGCGTGGCTGGGCGCTGAGCTGGGGCAGGACCGGCCAGCTTGACTTTGTTGACAAACACAGCGGGGTGTGGGGCGGGGCCGGCCCAGCTCACCGTGACCAGGAGGCAGTGCAGGTCCCGGGCCTCGGCGCTGCCCTGGGTCTCCGGGGGCTCGCCCAGCAGCTGTGCCAGGCGCTGCATGCCTGACACCCGCAGAATGTTGATGTCGTTGTCGCAGCAAAAGGACTGGATGAGCGTGAAGTGGATCTGCAGGGCGATGTCACCCTCCTCCTCTTCATCAATGGCCAGGAGGCACAGGACCACGCTGTCGGGGTCCCTGAGGGGGCCCAAGGGAGGAGAGGTTCAGCCGGGACGCAGGGAGGGGGGGCCATGCATTGGGAGTCTGCAAAGGCAGCGAGAGCCCGCAGGTGTGCAGCAGCGCTGGGCACGGGAGAGGGCCCTGGCAGGAGAGCTCGGGCGGGAGGAGACAGAAGCCTACGAGGAGGCTCCCTTGCAAAGGAAGGCGCCTCCGAAGCCTGCGGCCCGCCCCCCACATAAGAGGAGGCTCTCCACAGTGGGGAGCCTTGGGGCGTCCAGCCCCTCGCGGGGGGGCTGCCGCCGGGAGCGTGCCGGGCGGCCGGGGTCCCCGCCGCGCCCCGCCCGGGGAGGGGTCTGACTCACACATTCATCAGCTTGGCCGACTCGTACACCCCCACGGTGAGGCGGTCCTGGCGCTGCGCCGCCACCAGCAGCTCCTCCACCGCGGCGCTCACCATCTGCATCCTGGGGGCCGGGGGGAGAGGCGTTAGCGCGGGCGGGTCCCGGCGAGCGCCGCCCGCCCCGCGCGGGGCCGGGACTCACCTCTGCGCCGCGTTGTCGCACGCCACGAGCTCCTCCAGCGTCATGCTGCGGGCCGCGCTCGCGGGGGACACGCACGCCCCGAGCCCGACGAGCCCCAACCTTCCCACGAAGCCCGCGCGCCCGTCCAACGCCTTCGGAGAGCGGCGAGATCCTCCCCAGAAACCGCGGCGAGACAATTCCACGGTCCCCGGCGAGCGCAATCCAGGGCTCGTGGCGGCGCGGCTCCCGGGCTTGGGCGATCTGAGGCTGGCGGCGCCGGCACGGTCTTTTATAAGCTTGCCGGGAGGCGTGGCCGCGGCGGCCCGGCGGCTCCTCCTATTGGCACATGGGCACAGGCCAGAGGAGCGCGCGCCGCGATTGGCCGGCGGCGGGGAGGGGCGGGGCGCCGCGGCGGGAGCCCACGTGGGCGGGCAGCCGGGAGCCGCGCGCCGGGGGGCAACGAGCGCCAGGAAAAGAGAAAAAAAAGCAGAAGTGCTTCTCCTGACTTCCCGGCAGCCGCGCCGCGTTTCGGGGCGCGCGCGGGATTTCCAGCGCGCGCAGCGGCCCGAGCTTTCGGGGAGGGGGGGCCTGGAATCCCCTTCCAGCGCCGGAGAGTCCCCGGCCCGCGCCGTCCAGGCGTCTCCGGGAGCCTGCACGAGGGGGCCGGCTTCGCAGCCCCCCCTTCAAGGTGGTGGGGGTCGTGGGGTCCCCCCAGGCGCGGGCACCCCAGGCCCTGGGGCTCCTACCTTCCCTGAGCCTCTGCCCCTGCCTGGCGAATGGGAACGCGACTCAGGTCGCCCTGGGTCGGGGGCACAAGAAATAGGGCCAGCGAGGGAGCTGCGCGCGGGAGGCGAGCAGTAAACGGGGGGTGGTCGAGGCAGGACGCCTCGGGGTCCCCAAACTGGGGCCTGCGAAGGCGGCCCCTGTGTCCGCACCTGCCCGCGGCGGTGCCCAGCGGCCTCGCGGTGCTGCAGGGAGCAGCCCCAGGAGGGCACAGTGCGCGCGACAAGCGGTGCCTGGTGGTCGCGGGGGCCCCTCAAAGCCTCCAAAGCTGGGGCAGGAGGCTCTGGGCATCCTAGGGACGAGCCCCGGGCCCCCAGCCCGCGAGCTTCAGGGTGGGGCGCGTGGGAGGCGCAGGGGGAGCCGCTCGGGCCCGGCGCCCCCTGCCGGCGCCTCGCGCCCCCCCGCGGGCCGCCCCTGGCGGGGGCCAGAAGCCCGGCCTGGGGAGCCGCGGATCGGGGTCGGGGTTCCCGCTGGTGCTGCACCAGCTGCCGCCACGGCTCCGTTTGCAGCGGCGCCACCGCTTTTGCTCCCCCCGGGTGGGCGCTGATGTGCGGCAGGGGCTGTGCACACAGCTCGCTGTGCCTCCGTCCACCTAATCCTCAGGGGCCCGGGAAGCAGCGGCTACGGTGGTCCGCCTTCTGCACAGGGGAAACTGAGGCCGGGCGCGGCCCCGCCCCTTCAGCCGTCAGCGCACCCGTGCGGGGCCGCACGTGAGCCCGGCCCGGCCGCACGCACCGTCTCCCCGGAAGACGGTCCACGAGCCTGGCGGGCCGGCCTGCTGGGACGGCCGCCCACGCGCGGCCGGGGGCTCCCTGGTGACTCACAGCTGGTCCCGCCCCCGCCAGTCTGGGGTCTGGCCTCCGCCGCGCGGGCCCGGTTCCCCGCTCCCCAGCCTGGAGGTCGGGCTGACGCATCGCGCCGCCTCCGCGCCGCCCACCAGGCGACCGCGAAAGGTCCGGCGCTGCGAGGCGCGGCGGCGCCACCTCGTGGCCGCGGGGTGTCCCTGCGCCGGCTGCTCCGGAAGGGGCCGGTGGGCGGGTGACTGTGCGCACCGGTGGTATTTTCTCTGCACAATACTTGACTGCCAGATGGAATGATCTTACAGGTGTAGTATTTAAAAATTTCCAATCGACAAGCTGCTGTCCAGGGGCGCCTGTTGTTGTTATGGGGCATTAAGTACTTTCGCAGCGCTGTGCAGCCATGACCACTAAAATGTATGCAAGCCGTCCCCACGCGAGATACCAACATATTAACATTTTGACGGTCCGCAGGCTCTGACAGAGTCACGAGGGGCAGGAGCAGGGCCAGACGCTGTCTTAATTTGATCTTCTGTTCGTCATGTATTTTTTTCTATGTTGATTTTTATTCTTTAAATTAAGATGTTTATTTATCTTGACCGAGCTTACTTTGGTAACTCCTTTAGATTGTGTTTCTGCCTGCTGCGCCTTCCCCTACACCCAGTTCTGAGAATATGCCAGTCCAGGCCAAGGAGGTGTGACCGAGGGGTGCCCCTCACTCTCCCCAGGCATTTGCCCTGCCCCACGATGGGGAAAAGGCAAATCCATACCCATCTCAGGAGTGCGGGAACCCTTGTCTCTAAAATCTCTAAACTTAATCGCTTTTCAAATGAATGTTGCATTGCACTGAAGACTAATAAATGCTGACATATACTGAGCACTGGCTATGTGCTAAGCATTTTGTAAAAGGTTTCTCGGTTGGTGTTCACACCTCCCTCACTGCCCATGAAGTAGCTCCTGAGTGACTATTCCAAGTTCACCGAGAAAGAACTAGAGACTGGGAATGTTACAGGGCAGGGTGAGAGGCACCCCAAAAAACCCCAAACCTGCCCCCTCTAACTAGATTCTATCATCTGCCACATCAGGACAAAACACACTCTCGCGTGTGAGCCTGTCAATGGAAAGGAACTTGAATACAATGAGTGTGCAGTACAGAAAAGGGGAAGAACAGGCAAGAATATAGTTTCCAAATCAAGCACCCACAGTTACCCATCCCCTCGAGGGTAAATGCCCAACCAAACAGGGGTGGCCCAAAGCAGGGCCTCTGAGGCCTGAAAGCCTGCCACAAGTCTAAAGCACCTTCTGATGGGGACCCATAGAAAAGGGTCTGAAACAGCCAGACAAGTCGGGAAAGGAAAGAGCAAAATCAAAATACAAGTGAAGATAAAAAGCTGCCACTGTCACCTCCCCGCGGTCTCTCACCCGCATCTGTGTCACCCCGTCCTCGACCAAAAGGCAAGCGCAGCTTCTTCACGTGTCTCTGCTCCACGTGCCTCCTCCAGGCCTCCTCCTGGCTCCATCCTGCTTCCTTCCTTCCTTCCAGAATCTCCTCTCCAGCTTCTTCTCCTCCTTACTCAGCTCCACCCTCCCTTGGGTGAGGCAGGGAACCTGGAAACTCCCCCTTTCCTGGGGACCCCCCTGTTACAGGAAGCCGGTTAACAGCTCAAAGGCACAGACCCGGGAGCCCCCTGGGATACTCCGAGATGCATGGGGGAGGCAGGGATGGCTGCTGGGGTGCGGAGGGAGAGGGCTGGGTAGGGTGCAGGGGAGGGAAGTCAGAGTGGGGAGGAGACAAGCAAAAACGTGTTGAGAGAGGGGAGGTGTTTCCCTAGTGAGGGCCGGAAATGGCAAGTGGGTGAAGACTAAGCCAGCCAGGCCAGCCTCTCAGATCTGGTGATGCAGAGGAAAGATCCAGACACGGGTCTTTGCTGTCCTGCTTTGTCACCTAGCGGGGTGGGGACTAGGGTGACAGAGCAGTACATTTGTTTGGTGCAGATTTTTTTTGGTCATCAAAAACCTCAGTCATCAAGATAAATCATCTTTTTTTTCCCTGCCATTTTTTCATTGAGCTAGAAATCATATACCATAAAATATAAAAATACTTTATCTAAGTGTAGCTTTTAGAGTGTCCAGTTCACTTTTTTTTGTATAGTCTCAAGTTAGTGCAACCATCACTACTAGCCCAGAATGAGATTAACAGTATTTTAACGCAATAGTTTAAATCAAATGCATGGGGCCTCCCTGGTGGCACAAGGGGTGAAGTCTCAGCACTATGAAGCTGTCCACAGCCACTGCAGCACCAGTTCGATCCCCCGCCAGGGAGCTGACCCACATGGCACAGCAGACCTCTCCTGTCTCACCTGCTGCTCCCCTCAGCAGTGTATTTCAGTAGATCCGCCTGTTCTGCTCCCCACTCTGTCTCTGGTGAATCCTCTCACCCCCCACACCTCTGGCCTGTGCCCCAGCTCCTGCCTACATAAATAAATAAATCTTTTTAAAAATGCATGCCTCAAAATCCATGATGAACTGAATATTAGTGTTTCCTTTCAACACAAGACCACTAACAGTGGCACGCCAAGCTGTCTTGGAACCCCAGCCTACAGGAAAACTCGGTATGGCTGATCCTGCCTTGATTTACAATGTTGAAAATGGACTCCATGTGACTTTTTTGGTAATGTTTTCTAATACTGCATCAATTTTAGTATATGTGCTGCCGAAGCAAACACTAATACTGCATCAAAATCTGAATCTTCACCCTAAGTTTTTGTCTCCCTCTTGTCCCAACCCTGCTTCTTGGGGCCCTGCCTTGTTAATCGGTCTACAGTTGTAAGTGTAATGTTAAAGCGCCCTGGTGTTATTATGCTGGTGTCAATATCTCTCTTTAGTGCTATTAGTAATTATCTTGCTTGTGTTGGTGCTCCACCATTTGCAGTATGTATATTTATAAGTGTTGTTTCTTCTTATTGTATTAGGCAATAGATCATAATGTAATGTTCATAGAGATTATTATATTAGTACTTCTTATACCTTTTTTTTGATAATTTTTAAAAAAGATTTATTTAAACAAGCACTGGGTACAGTCAGAAGCGCGGGAGGGTGAGAGAATTCACCAGAGTCAGAGCAGGGAGCAGAGCAGGCAGAAGGACCGAAGTACACTGCTGAGGGGCGCAGCGGGCGGCAGGAGAGGTCTGCGCGCCCTGTGGGACCCTCCTCCTCCGGTGGCCGGGGAGCAGCCGGGAATCGAGCCGGCGCCGCAGAGGCCACAGGCAGCTTCGCAACCCAGCGCTCAACCGCTGCGCCACCGGGGAGGCCCCCTTCTTATAACTTTTTTTAACTGGAAAAATATTTTATCTAAGTGTAGCTATTTCTGACTTTTTTGATTGCCATTTGCTTCTTAGATTATCTTCCACCGTTCACTCTCAGCCTACTTGTCTTTGTTGGTAAGTTTCATGTATGAAGCAGAAGGTTGGTTTTGTCTTAAAGTCACTCAGCCACTCTGTATTTTTTTGCTGGTGAACTCAAGCAACTTACATTTAAGATGATTATTGAGACATAGTGCTTATTGCCATTCTATTAGTTTGTTTTTGTCTTTATTTATTTATTTATTTTTGTGTAGAAGAACTGAGGTGTAGGCCAGAGGTGTGGGGGCATAAGAGGATTCACC